TAGTTGTTCCTTTGTGTCCGTCAATTTCTTTTGGTAATTTCAGTCCCACAAATTCTTGTTGCGTTGACAATTTTGTTGTGGCTTTAAAAAAAAAAAAGTGTTTTAAGGCGCTCGCAAGGCATAATGTCATATGAGCGCGCGGGACACATTAAACATTTTCAGTTGGTAGGAAATTTTGCACTTTGCCCGGGTGGCGGCTGAAGTCTACTCTTATCGATTTTAGATCACCAAGGGGTCTATAACGTGCGCAACTTGCACACGGGACCTCCGAGATTTTCGGCAGCTGTAAGAAGGAGCCAAGGAGTAGCAGTAGAAAGGCTGCAGAAAGAGTCGGGAGCCCAGAGGAGGGGACAAAGGAAGTGAGGAGGTGGGGGCAGAAAGTGGAGACAACAGAACTTTGCTAGAAAGCAGGAAAGGAGGTGAAAAGAGACAATTTTAGAGAAGAACATTTTTTGGTCGCTACCCGGATTCGAACCCTGGACCTTTGAATGAGAGGCGAACACCTTAACCTCTAGCCCACGAGAGCCCCCTTGAAAAGTTTACTTGTGAACTTATGATGAAGGCCCTTATAAAGGACCCCTCCCCCTTTTCTTTCTTTCTTTCTTTCTTTCTTTCTTTCTTTCTTTCTTTCTTTCTTTCTTTCTTTCTTTCTTTCTTTCTTTTTTTCTTTCTTTCTTTCTTTCTTGTTGTTTTCTTTAACTTTAAGCAAGAAGGATTACCTGTCTTTGCATTCCCGTTTGAGAATAAGATTCAATCCATCAGACGTAATAGACTCTTTGATATCACCAAATGGAAACGTCGATTTTACAAGGAAATAATTGTTTACACAGGAATTCCCGGTGACATTTTTTTCGTCAACCCTCTATGGATACGAATAAAATGGCGCCGCAGTTTTATAAACTAATGTTTTAGTAGTTGTGATGTGTTGATGTATTTGGATTTGGTTATTTCTTAAATTGAACAGTGAATCAAGACATCATGAATTCTTTACTGAGGAAAATTCTAATTTCGCACAATGTATCAGCCTTGTCTTGTCGTAGAATGATATGGACATGCACAAAAACAGTGTTTTTGCATCGATCTAGTGGAGAGATTGCACGAATTCCTAGGAGGTTACAGTACAATTATCGAGAATGTACGCCCAAAAGCCGAACACTTCTCGAATGGGACAATATTATGATATCGTACCTAATGACTTCAATTTCCACCAAGACAAGAAGACAATTTATAAAATTTGTGGGAACAGGAATGGCGTTGTTCTCAGTCTGTGGTGGTCTATGGTCGGCTTTGCTGCCGCCGGTGCACGCTGCTATTCCAAGTGCGGCCCACAACTTCATTGCAGATATTGTGAAAGAAGCCGGCCCTGCAGTGGTCTTTGTGGAAATCAAAGGAAAGTAGGTCTTCCGAATGTTCCTCGTGACTCATAGCAATTATATTATGTAGACCTACCTTACTTACGGTACAGAGATTGTGATTCCATTTGATGAGCACAAGTAAAGTGTAATTGATGTATATATGCTTGGTTAATCCCAAATTGAGTCGTTTGCTCAATGATTGATGAAATTTGAAAAGGATATCATTATACATGTAATTATTTTTGTGTTCATGGAAATATTAAGGCCTTTCAAAAGCCAGTTTCTGTTTAAAAAAATGACATTCAATCATCCGCTTCGCTTATATTCTTTCTCTCTCCCCCCTCCCACCTTCTCTCTCTCTCTCTCTCTGTCTGTCTGTCTGTCTGTCTGTCTGTCTGTCTGTCTCTGTCTCTCTCTCTCTCTC